TAATATGGAGCGTTGTATACATGCAAGATCAGGCATCGTTGTGTTTAACAGTGGATAAAGATGGACGAAATGGAAGAGCAACCAACGATCGAAACTGATTGTGCGGCGTCAGACAGAGGGAAAGAAAACAGAGAAAGAGACACTTCGGATCTCTTCTTCCCTTCATGCATCCGGTCTTTCGCCTTCCTGGACATGGACGAAATGGAAGAGCAACCAACGATCGAAACTGATTGTGCGGCGTCAGACGGAGGGAAAGAAAACAGAGAAAGAGACACTTCGGATCTCTTCTTCCCTTCATGCATCCGGTCTTTTGTCTTCCTGGACATTCCTGCTTCCCCCCCCCCCCCCCCGCCTTTCTCAAACAAAAAAGACGGCCACAAATCGGGGCACTTAATACACTTGCATGGATCAAGTGTTCCTGCTTGTCCATCTTCTCATTACCAGTCTCCTTTCTTCGGTGCAAGTTATGCCTTCCTCGTTCTGTCCCCGAAACACGACGCATTAATCATGAGCGCACGTGCCCAGAAACTCGTACCACATTCTATATACCTAGCAATTATTGTTGACTTCATTTCGTTCGTGCCTCCATTATGTTAAACAGAACCCGCCACGCCAGATGGATGGGGAATCCGCCATGCCAGATGGATGACCCCAAGTGTCCTGATACAATGAATACGATAATGCGGCATGCCATCATATGATGCCATGGCGGTCCATGACGATGACGTCTCGTTCAACAGATAAGACCACACAGACACGCATATAGAAGGCCGCCTTTTTTTCATGTGTCCAAAGTGTGAGGGCGCCATCAGATCACACTAACATGCATTGCTTTGAGATATCTCACATAGAGAGAGAGAGAGGACAGAGGCAATGCGGTGAGGGAAAAAAAAAAAAAAAAAAAAAAAAAAAAAAAAAGGAAAAAAAAAAAAAAAAAAAAAAAAAAAAAAAAAAAACAACAACAACAGAAAACAGATGGTAAAGCTAGTGGTGGATGAAAGAAATCCAACGAAACTTCATACACCAAATATGGAAGCATCAGGGACCCACAAAAGAGCAAACTTGCAAAGACTGTCGAGAAATCAAGCCCCTGAAATTACTAAATTAGGAAAAGGTGACGACTCTGAAAAACCAAATGAATGAGCATGTCGAAAGCCGAAGACTGGTCGGACAAATGTTTAAAACTCTGTAGCACAGTGCAAGAGGAATTGTATGGACCATTCACAACGAATTGGGGTTCTTCGTCCAGCAAACATTATGTGCAGGGCATGAATTATGAGCGGATCAGTGCTGTAGTTTGTGTGTATCCGTCCACGTCTGTTTCTGCCAGTTCAATTGTCTGCTCCTGTAGATTGTGTGTCACAGCCTAGGTGTCGGTTTCCAAGACTCTGG